GGCGGGGGCTGCGGAGGAGCCCGAGCGCCTGGCGGTGCGGGGACGTGCGGCGGCGGCGAGACCGAGGAGCGCCGCGTGCGAGGCAAAGCCGTCCTTATACTGACACCAAATGTCTTCGGGGAAAGCTGCAGGCGCGGGGCGCTGGAGGGGGAGGCGTGGAGGCGACAGACAGACTGCCGGCGGCGGGTGAGCCCCCACCACTCCCCGGGGGCAGGGAGCCCCCAGCCCGGCGGCCACCGCCTGAGAATCAGGGTCGCGCCTGAGAAAGGGTCCCACCCCCTCAGCCTGGGGGCTGCGGCATGCGTGAAAAGGGGGGGCCGTTCCCGACCACCCCCAAGCCCCGGAGCCCATTTGGCCACATTACAGGCTGGGTTCTCACGGCAATGAGAGTCGGGGTGTCTCCCCCACTCGGGGCGGGGCTGCCCACCAGCTCTGCGTGTCGGGGCTGAACTGGAATTCCCCTCCAGGGCCGCGCCAGCACCCAGGCAACCTCCGCGCTCCCCTTCGGCCGCTTCTCTCCCATTCGCCACGGAAAGCCACTTTCTCCAGGGCTCCCAGAAAGCTCCCAGGTGGAACAGACCACAGACCTCTTCCTCCAGCTGCAAAGCCCCCCACCCCCACCCCAGCCTCTCCACTTCCCCTGCACAGCGCGGCCAGGGGCCCCAAAGAGTCAGCCCCTCTAGAAACCTGGAGCCTTGGGCCCCTGCAGGGTCAGTTCCCCAGCTCCCTTGACCCTTCCCGGCTTGCTCGCCCTGTGCAGTCAAGGTGTCCCAGGTGATGACGCCTTTTATCTACCTGTATCCCCAAAATTAAACCGTGAAGGCTCCCAAATGCAGGTGCAATGGGCCGCTCACGCCCCTCAACTCGGGAAGCGTGGGGGAGCACCTCCTGGTGCCGGACACCTCTCTAAATCTGCTAGCGGTCCACCGCCTCACCCCTGCTTTACGGAAGAAACTGCGAGGCCAGGTCAAGGTCACCGAGCAGGGAAGCCTTGCCCTGAAAGTGAGTCTGGCCTTCCCCAGCTCCCACGGCCCCCACAAGTGTCCACCTCACCTCAGCCGCCGGTGCCCCCACTGCAGGTCCCCGCAGAATGCTGGACAGGGAGATGAGCCACACTGGACCGGGCCGGCTGGCTGACCCGAGGCCCACCTGGAGGCCCTTGGTCTGCTCGAGGACCAGTGTGGTGCCGGGAGATAGTCTCAGCCTTGTGCTGCCTGACCGCAGCCCCGGGCAAGTCCCTTCGACCCTGCCTCAGGCTTCTCATCTGTAAAACGGGGTAGAAGCTCGTCCTTTGCAGAATGAGAGCAGTCTGAACGCGGTTTAGCGCCGTGCAGGGCCCATCCTCGGCACTCAGCAAACAGTCGTCCCTTCCTACCTGCCGGCCTGTCCCGGAAGACAAGACGAAGCTTCACCCAGACCAAGGTCTGCGCGCACACGCTACCAGGTGGCATCTCCCGGGCAGGGCCTGCGCTGCAGGTGTCCGTGGTGGGATGGGCTTTTCCCAGGGCACGGCGGGCTTCGGGTGCGAACCTCCGGGGAGACCCCTCAACGTGCGAGGCTTATGCGGGACTGACGTGAGGAGCGGAGGTGGCCAGGAAATGGCCCTGGGGGAACACGCAAAGGGCCAAGCAGAGATAGGGTGTCAGCGGCGGCCCCCCACACCCTCCCCGGCTGTGCCGCCCGGAGAGTGGGAGAATCGGGCCAGAGGCGGAGAGAGGATACGGCCGCAGCCCGCTTTCTCTCCACTCTCCTCTGGCCGCATTTCTGTGACGCTCAAGCTGGGCAGGACCCTGAGACGCCCACGGGCCTGGGGTGGCCGTGCAGCGCCTGCTCGCACACGCCCAGGGCGATGCGGCTCTCACCACCTCTTCGGGTGGCTCCTTGGCTCCCTGACCACGCAAAGTTCTTCTTTCTTGAGATTTTCCCTCTCCTTCGTGACCCTCCGTTCCCGCAGGACTAAACCCCTCCCCGCCTCCCTCCGCTCCACACTGGCAGGAAGCCCTCACTGTGTCGAGCCGAAATGCCTTAGGCTGCAACTAAAGTCCAGTCCCCGTTCTCCACCACGGAGCACAGGGTGAGCTCTGTGGACTGGACTAAAGTGGGGATGAGAAAGGAACGGGGGTGAAGGCCACCCCTCAAACCTGCTGGGGGTACGGGATTGCAAGTGCAGACCACAAGCAGCAAGGCTGCGGCAGTCCCTCCTGGAGGAGAGGCCTCCCTGGCTGCAGGAGCTTCATTTATTCATTATTGCTATTTATATTGTGCCTGGTATTTGCAGAAGGCTGCAGCAGCCACACACACTCATTAGGCCCCGCCATGCCCTGGGAGCAGGGGCCTGCCAGGAGGTGGTGAGATGGGCCGGGGCCTGGATCCCTCGCGCCCACCTGACAGCTGGGCCAGCCCCCCCCCCACTCTCTGCCAAGACTAGACAGCCCCAGATCGCGTTCACTTGCTCCCCAGCAGCTGCCAGGCAGAGCCACCAGGCTCACCTCTGTCCCCAGGAGAACTTTCTAGTGATTGTAGTGACTGGAAGGGTAAGGAACATCTGTTCCCCGGACAAAGAGCTGGGCTGAAAGAAGCTCAGGCCGCATCCTGCCCCAGGACACCAAGAGGTCCCTTCCAGCCCTAAAGACGCTAAGAGCCGAGACAAATTCCAGCGCCCTCAGACGCCACAGGGATCGCTTCCTCAAACACTGGCAGCATATATGGGCGTCAGGCCCTGTTCTAAGCCCTTGACAAATATTAGCACATTTAATTCTTTCCACAGTCCTGTAAATCGACGTTACTGTTTTACAGATGAGGAGCCATTAGCACAGAGAAGTCAGGCAACTTGCTCAAAGTCACACAGCTTTTGAAGGGCCATGCTGGGCTTGCCAGGCTTCGCACTTTGTGCTAAACCAGGATTCTGGATTCTAAGATCCAAAAGCTCGAAGCATCTCCAGGATTCCAGCCTGGCCCAGACACACTCCACTGGTTCACCTCTGGAGCAGGAGAGGGGACTGCTCTCAGGGGTCTCTCCTGCCCCAGCCCCAGGGAAGTCAGAAGCCCTTGTGAGGGGGTTTCGGTGTGCAGATGCGGAGAAAGGAGGTGGATTTCCCCTCCCAGCTGTGTGCACAAGCCCAGCCCCCCACCGGACAAAGCCTGCAGAAGCCAAGTGAGGGCCGGGGGCCCAGGGACAGGGCATCCCCCACCCCACGGTGGCTGCAGCCCCAGGAATCCCTCCCAGGCAGGAAGGGCTGCTTGTGGCTGCTACCTAGGGAAGGAGCAGGGGCCCCCCACCCCCACTGTCCTCTTACCCCAGCAACCCACTTAGCCCTGGCGGCAGGCCTAGGTGTGAGGTAGCACGAAGTTCATTTTACAGGTGGGAGGACAGGAATACAGAGAAATTAAGTACAGTGCCGGGGTCATGCAGCAGAAATAGCGTGCGTGCGTGGTGGGGTCCTTCACCTGCCCAGGGAGGCGGCAGAGGCTGACAGACAGAGAAGGGACTGTTCTCAGGACACCCAGGGTCCTGCCAGGTAAGAGTACCCCAACTCTCAGCCAAAATGGCCTCGGTGCCCCAGGAGCTCCCGGGAGGGGCCTTGAAGGACCCGGTCGGGCGACCCCTGTAACTAGCAAGGAGGGTGGAGCGACGTGGGTTCACTCCACCCTGAAAGTCGGGGGAGCCCAAGGCAGGGCGGCGCGGGGCACTGCCGAGACCCCCACCTCGGTTAGAAACACCAGAAGCCCCCCCATGGGCGTCTGGCAGCAGGGGTGTCGCTCCTCTGTGCCAGCTGAGCCCAGAGCACGCCTGGCTGGCCGCCAGTGCCTCGCACTGCGTGACCGCAGGTTCCTGAGGAGGAAACCGAGGCCCCAAGAGTGGTGTGATGTCCCCTGCGTATCACCGGGGGCCAGTCAGTGACCTTCACAGACCACCGGCCAGGGGCCAAGGACTGGATAGACAGACAAATGAACCCCAGGCAGTGGGGAGACCCCATGGCAGAGAACTGGGGCCAAGTGCAGGGGCAGAGGAGAGCTGACTTCTGGAGCAGGCGGGTCAAGGCTGACAGAGAGGGGCAGCGTGAAGACTGGGGTGGGCGGTGGCGGCCGAGGTCTCTGGCAGCGCAGGGGAGGAAGCCAATCCAGGTGTGGGACAGGCAGGAGGGGAGGCCTGCGGGAAAGGCGGGACAGGCGAGCAGGGCGTGGGGAGGTGGGGGAGGTGGGGCGGCGGCTAGGCTGGGCCCACTGTAGAAGTTCTACCTGCGGAAGAGGCAAGACACAGGCCACCCCAGGCTCGGGGCCACCCCAGGCTCGGAGCAAATGGCCAGGCCCAAGCCAGGAGGGGCAAGACAGATCTGAGGTCACAGGCAGGACAGGACTTGAAGCCTTAGGAGGGTGGGCGGGGGTGTGCGGGGTCTTCCCAGGGTGGGTGGTGGGGCCTGGGGGGCAGGAGCTGTGATGAGCCACCAGAGGGGTAGGAAAGTATGAGGTAAAGATCCAGAAGAGAGGTGACACAGAAAGGGGGTCGGGCGGGGGG